TTTCTGAGGAAGCGGTCAAGCTTTCTCGGCAGGTTTCATAGTTCCAGATTGTTTCGTTCCTTCTTCCACCTTAGCTCGGGGGGCCGACTAAACAGGGGGGGAGCCGATATATGGGGTTGGGAGACATGGCAACGGCGAAGCTAGTTTAGATTGAAGCTGAGGCTCTAGACCTACTTTTCACAATCTCTCCTAAACACCACGCAGTTTAAAGCATAGATATGAAACACTGAGGTCAAAAAGACCTCGCGTGTCTTGCTCTCTGTATGTGCCGGCAATGACGGCGCATGGATTACGTACGGGTCTGTATTCTCTAGGGTTTAGCCCAGTGGAGAGAGATATGAAGCTTGAGATGGTGAACCTCGCGTGCACGGCGGTTTAACAAGCTCCAGCCCGGTTGTTCGGCTTGAGAATTTTGGCATGGATATATTTCCAGGGCCTGGATTTTTCTGGGGCACTGGAGAGGACGATTCAGCGAGAATCATGAGAAGCAGCTGCCAATTAACGCGAAATGGGAAAATATTGGACCAGGGGAGAGTAATAAAACAGAATCGAGTCGTCTTCGGCCGAGGCCAGACCCATGGCGACAGAGGCTCGAGTCGTGCGCGGTCCCCATCTTTTTCTGTGTGAATCGGATGACGGGTGTCACTGACGTTTTTTTTAATTATCTGGACATCGCGAAACTCACAGACACTTTGGGGAAAGGCTCTTTTTTTGTTTCGTATCGTCAGATGTTTCCCGAATTTGTTTCGCGGGGCAGGGTCTGGGCCTCGAGCTCGCTCGACTCAAGCATAGATGGACCCTGGAAAGATTGGCACCGATTTGGGATGATCACTGTCTGTGTTCTGTTCATGGATGAGGATGTGCGAGGAAGGCCGGGAAAGCTTGTCGAACGCAGGTCCATTGCGACTTTGAGGATATAAGCAGGTGCCTTGCATAAAGACTTTAAGAAGGCTAATCACGGCCTCCACTGCTTTTCGGGAATCGATGTGGCATCGGCGCTCCGGGAAGAGAGGGTCTTCTATGCGTTTTCACCCCATCAGGGTCAGTTCATTCAGACGTTTCCCTTTTTAAACCTCTTTAAAGTCTTTAAAAAAGTGATCACCAACAAATGATGTTTCGTCCGGTGGTCCTGTTCGTCCCATTCCGACCCCGTGGGTCGACGGTTTTGTCCGGTGACAGACTTTCGCTACCGTATAAGATCAGCGATATAGGGTCCCCCCGCCGTGGAGCGACTCATGGATTCGAATGCAGGCACGAACAGGGCAAAGATGGAAAGACGCCGGAGAGAAAGAGAGGGAGAGGGAGGATGGGCTTGCTTTGACGGAAAAAGTGGGATGGAAATGAATCATTCCAGAAGGAAAAGCGACGAACTGATGGGGTTGCATTCGATGGACGGTTGAATATAGGGCGCATAATGATTCCTGTGTGATTTGTGTGATTGTGTTTTAAGCGACCTCTTGGGGGCGGTGCAGCAGTGCATCCAGCATACACATCGTCGTCATGCACTTGCTGTCTTAACGCCAGTTGTGATATGCCGAAGCTCCGTCCGTCGGAGGAGACAGAAGGAAATAGGGGGTTGCGCGGAGGCATCTTCCATCTCGGGGGCTTCGTCGCGTGTTCTCAGCGCCCGGCGCGTCGGTCGACTGCAACCTTGCGTCCAAGAAGAGGCAGAACCAAGGCAAGGTTCCGATCGGGTAGGCGTGCATACGTACATACAACACGAGGAAAAAAGGCAGGCGCTTCAGCGGGCGGGAAGTGTGCAGCAATCGTGGTTGAGGTTTCATTGCGTCCGTCTATTCCGGGGGACGCTTTCTTTCTTCTCCCAGCCGCCCCCCTGTGCCGCACCTCTCTCTTTTGCGACTTTCATGCGCGATGCGGCAGGTTGTGGTGGTGTTGCCCGTATGATGGATGACGCTCGATAGAGTGGAATTGCCACACTGCATCTGCTCATCATTCGAGTTCCGTTCTGATATCACCGAGACCTACATAGTACAGGTTCGGAGGTGCGACACCCCGCGGGATACCGTCTGTGGTAATATGCCCGCGCTGTGCGGCCGCAGCAGAGGCGCCGATAGCAGAAGAAAGGCTGACGCTGCTGACGGAGAGGAGAGATGGCAATGAGATGAGGGTGCTAAATCTAACGCTTCGGACTTGTGCTGACGCTTGTCAACGGGCCCCCAGACCGGGGTTCATCATGAGCCTCGTCACAATTGTCGAGCTTGAGGCGATAGGTGAGATGTCTGTGGGGGCCGAAGCAGTGAGGAGAACCAGAGAGAGCGAGAGACTGGGGTCCAAGGGGGAGGAAACGAGAGTCTACCGATGATTCGCCCATTTCCAGGCCCTGCACATCCCGTAGGCGCCAGGCACGCAGGAACGAAGCAGTCTGCTTCTGCGTCTTTGCCTCATTGCTTGCGGGCGGTTGGTTCGACGTAGCGCAAGGGTTGGCCCCCATGCACATGTAAATTGCAGGCTCTCTCGTCCGTTCATCGAGAATAAACAAAAAAGAGAGTTGTGTACGTGTGTCTCGTCTCATGTTCGACCTCGCTGTGCAGCTTCTGATCTGTGCTCAACATTGTTCGGGAAAGCATTGAAGCACGAATCCCTCGCTAACGAGCGGTGACACGATAACGAGGGAGCCGTACGGATACCTGACGCCGCATGTGCAAGAGCTCGGGATGATTGTGCCTCCTCTGTGGTTGGATATGTCATGTTTAAGGGTGTTCGGCGGAACGACGTCCATGCCCAATGATCGCCCAGCGACAAGGGGTCCCGGGTGACCCTCCAAGTTCCTCCGATGGTTGGTCCAATTCCCCTCGAGTCTGTCCGGTCTTCGCGCTCATGACGATTGGGGGGTTCGTTCCTTCTCGTGTAACTTTGCTCAACATGGAAGTTGCCGGGTTTCCGATCCATCTAGACCAGAAAGGCTCACAAAAAATAGAACGACCGGGGCGGACGGCGGCGCTGTCAAGACTTGACAAGTTGGAACCTGTATTTGCTCTCTCTGCTGGTAATTTTGCTGTGCCGTCGGACAGACTGCCTTCCGCGGCGCGGCATTGGGGCGGGCTGGACATGGGGGATGATTGATTTGATACCCAGGGACGACGAGAGACACGGGAGAGAGCGAGAGACACTCACACAGACACAAGGGAAAGGATGCACAGACTCGCGTGATGGATGTGCGGCCGGGTTTTGCTTTCTGCGATTTGGTTTCTTGTGTAGCCAGCATATCAAAGTTGCCCCTGCCACGGCAAGCCTTAAAGTGTGCGGTAAATGAGCTCGACGACAGATCTTGACTTGTTTCGGGAACCGCAATGGCCAGACGGCTCCGCGAGACATGGAAGGGTGAGGGAGCGAGGGACATGTTGTGCGACTGGACAAACCGCACCATCCATAACCTCGCTACGTGCTTTGCCATCGCAGAAAACCTGCAACCGTTGAAGATATTCTATATATATTTGCTTTATATGGCTTGTCGTCGCGTCGTTAATGTGTGCTGTACGCGCGCTTGCGTGGTGTCATCAGGTCCCGTTTTTTTTGCTTGGTTTTCCCATCTTGCAGCCGAACGGCGGCCTTTCCGTAGAGGGAGAGACATACATGAGAACAATAAGTATCATATATGCCTGCCGTCCCATCTCCTCTCTCCTGCGCCGCAACACCACCCCGCCAAAAAGACCGTACATGCGTGTAAAACCTGGCCGTGGCCGCTCGAACAAAGGCTCTGCCCTCGCTCGAGGCATCATCCCCTCGATTGCATGTCATGCCTAAAGTGTTGGTGATCATCATTATCAATACCCTTCTCGAGAGCCCCATCACATCACGCCGCCCCGGGCCAGAGTGACTCCGTTGGAAAGAGAGACAGAGACAGAGACACGGACAGAGCAGAGCCCTGTCGGTGGATTAATACCACCCATACTTTTTCTTACCTTACCTTTACTCTATTCGCCTTGTCCCCTGCTCCGTCCTATATTTCGACCCTTGGCTCGCATTCCTCTCGAGCCGGTGGAGCCCCCTTTACACCATCCTTACCCAACCGGACCCTCAGCCAGCGGACAGGGTCTGCCCCTGGGTCTCTCTGCTCAGCTCAATACCGGATTCGGCAGCCGCTTGTTGGTGCTGGCGGAGCACTCTGGAGTGGCTCCCCCCCCCAGCCCAGGTAACAGGATCACAGGCGATTGGGGGGAAAAAAGAAGTTGTGGTGGATGTCATCGATACCCACGACTTGCACAACGAAAGAGGTGGAGGTGGAGGAGGACGAGAAGAAGAAAGCAAGCTGGAGGAAAGGCGGCGGCGGAAGAGGCACCGCAGCAGCAGCAGTACCAGCAGCACAGCAGGGAAGAGGGCGAATGAAGGCTGCGCTGGCGCGTGTAGGAGGTGTGATGGGCGCGGTGCCGTGGGCCCCATCACCGCTGTCACGGTCGACTCACAGGCGTGGTGGTGGTGGACCGGGGGCCGTGGACGAGAAGCAGCAGTGCCAGCAACAGCAGCAGCGACCGCAGCATCGGCTCCAGGGACAAGACCGCCAACCTCGGGGGCCCTGGACGGCGGCAGCGATGCTGGTGGACCGGCATGAGCTCATAAGTTTCCTTGACGACGACGACGCGGACGCGGACGACCAGGTCCCTCTGTCCTGTTCTCTCGATCCCGTTGATATTGTTCCCGGCACTGCATCATCATCATCATCTTTTCCATGTTCGTCTTGTTCGTCTGTTTTTCTGCTTGACAACGAAATCACCAACAACACCAACACCAACACCAAAGGCAATAATCATAATACCACCAAGGACGATCGCAACATACACAACAACCACACAGCCACCACCAGCAGCACCAGTACCAGCACCACCTACGACTCATTTCCCCGGTTCCCTTCCTTTTACTCGTCTGCGCGGTCAAGCTTCGACGAGTCGGCTACGGATGTAACCACTTGCCCGTCGACAGCTATTACGACAACGGACTCGACGACGGCGACGACGACAAGGACAGCAGCGACAACGGCGACAATGGCGCCCTTGTTCATGATTGGAGGCGGCGGCGGCGCTAAGAACAATGGCAAGACGACAGCGCCGGCGGAGACGGCGGCGGGCGGAAGGACCAGCGACGATGGCGTGGACCGGTCTCACGGCCTCTGGGACTATTTGCACCACGGACTCGACGGCTACAGCTCTCCCGACCTGCGACTGCTGGGCCAGTACAACAGCAGCAGTAACAATAATGAGAGGGAGACGACGACGACGAGCACAAAGCCGCACCAGTCGTCAGCAACAACAAGGAGCCAACAGCAGCAACAACAACATCAGCAGCAACTTTCGTCATCGTCAACATATCACCAGACGCTCTACGAACTACGGCCCGACTCGTCCAAGAGCCATCACAACCAGTACCTGCACCGAACGAGCTCCGAGTCCGTGGGAGCCTCTGCGACATGGACGTTACGGAGCGGCAAGAGCCACGAGAAGACCAATAGCGGCAGCAGCAAGAAGACGACAGCCACGACGGCGACCAACATGACGATTCCGACGATTTGCGGCGTGAGGGAGCGGGAGACGACGACGGCAGCGACGCTGTCTCCTCCCGACGGTGGTTTGACGTCGATCGTCGTGCCCCCGCCAGTCTCGCCCTCGACGGCCTCTTTCGGGGCTGAGATGACGAAGCAGGAGTTTGAGGCATTGCCCGAGGCCATTCAGCGCAAGGTAAGCTATGAATTGTGTTGATGATGTTGTCGTCCTTTTCCCCCTCTCATGTCTTACACTATCCCTCCCCCCAATGTCTGAGCATTCATTTCTCTCATTATTGACATGACCATCTGTCTGTCTGTCTTTGGCGGAATCCCCCATCCCTTCTGTTGTTCTATTCCTTTTTCCCATTCTTGTTCTTCCTGATGTTCCAACGAAGCGCCTCCAGCGTCAGCCACCATCTGCCGTTCCGATCTCATTCCTTTGAGAGCAAGTGCCGGGTTTCCTTTTTCTCTCTGTTTTAGCGCGGCCCCTTGTCAGGAAGCCATACCGAGAAACAGGCCGTCCGTGGCGTTTTCTAAATTATTTTTCCCTGCCATTTTCTTTTTTCCCCGACTTCTTCGTTGCTTTCTCTCCCTCTCGGTCTGAAAGTTCCACGGACCGTGGGTTTTTTCTTCTCCTACTTTTTCCCCTGGGACCTTTCCCGAACAAGACATTGGCCTATTTCCCCCCAAACCCCTGCCAGCCAGCCCAATTGCCCCCTGTTCTCATATGTTCAGGCACACAGACATGAGAGCATTGGACAGCGCATAACTTTCCTTGGGTGTAATTGCGCTCCAGCCTTTCTACAGGGCTCAAGGCAACGTGAGGTGGTATTGGTAGGGCAGGGACGGCAAAGAGGGCCCAGACCTGCAGCAAGCTGCGGCCCAGAACCCGAGCCCGGGGTATCTCTCTTGCCTCCTCTTGCCTGCCTGCCTGCTGCTGCTGACCAGCTGTTCGCCTGGAGCTCTCGCCTGAATCCCGCGTTCGTTCCTGTCTGCCTGCGCAGTTGCAGTCGGGGGCTTTCCTGGTTGGCGCCGACTGGCCGGGGTTGTGTGTGTGGGTTCGTTTCCCTTCACATTGGGATTGCTTCCCGTTCAAGCTCAGGTCCCTGTGGAAGCGAATTGGCTGCTGCTGCCGCTGCTGTGGGTGTTTGGTGTTCATCAGCATCCACCGTCCACTGAGACATGCACCCAAAAGAACCGCCCGCGTTAGCCTCAACTGTCTCCCCTCTCAACCCCTTACCGCGCGCACACACACTCACAGCATGCCCCCATCACCACGCATTCTTTTCCGTCCAACCAACACCCAGCAGCCTCTTCCCTCTGCCCCCAGCTGTTCGTCTTCCCCCCACACCTTCATGCATTCGACCCCCAATATCACCTCCGACGCAGCCAGTCAGCGCGGGCGAGAGTGTGTTGTCAGGCACAGGCGTAAGCGTGAAGACGATGTGCGCTAGTCTGCACATGCATGCCAGCCAGCCGCTGAAGAGCGAGGACGCGCAGAGAGAACGAACGAGAAAGAAGTGAGGGGTGAGGCACAAACAAACACACGCAGAGAGAGAGAGAGAGAGAGGCCATCACGCACTCGTATTGGACAACGACTCGCCGCGACCTTGGTGTTGGGAAGATGACTCGCCAACTGCGAGAAATAACACTTCCCAAAAACAGACAATCAACAACAACAACACCAGGGTCCTGTGTGTCCAATCTCGTCGTGTCCGCGCTCTCGGGACCTCCTCTCTCGCGTGCCCAGCCTCATCTCTTCCAATCCCGTCTCTTTATCGTCCCAACACGGCTTGCCCTGATATTGCCTGCCTTCTCTGGGTTATCAGCACACCTATCCAAACTGGGCAGCCTGGTCCACAAAATCCAGCCATCGTCAGTCAATTGCCGTTGTGCTAGAGGGAGAGCCCCAAGGAAAGGACCGAACGACTTTTGTCTCAGTCTGGCTCGTTGCAGATCGGGAGTTGTCAATCTTGGGGCCGAAGATCCGTCATTGTCTCTCCTCTGTCCCGCCGATATCGTTCGTCTTCGTTCGTCACATCCCTCCCTCCAACAAGCCCCATCCCAAAGCCTAGCATTTGCCGTACCAAAGATTGCTCAAGTACGGCGGTGGTCTTGCAACGGCCTCTCTCTCTCTCTCTCTGTTGGACCATCCCAATTCCCCTTCTCTTCCCACATTCCATGGAGCCCCCCGGGCCGCCAAGTGGTGCCGTGGGCTAAAAAGGAGCATGGAGCTAGACCGGTTGCGCGCATGGTGTCTCTGGTGCGGCGTGGCCTCGCAGGCTATTCCCCCATGGTGTCGTGTATCGTGTCTGTTCGCCGCCCTTTTCTGGCCCTCTTCTGAGTTGAAGGCAGACTTAGGTAGACTTTAGACCTGGGTCATGCACCTTGCATCAATACCGTATGCAGAGCTGCAGCAGCGCAGGATGCACTGACGCGGGCACTGGCGCCGATGCACTGACCTGACTTGACGTGCTCCACGGACGCTTTTCCCACACGTCCGGCCCAGGGCAGGGCGGCATATGGATGGCTCTTGCTTGACGCCTTGAAGGTGCCGCCGCTCTTTGCCTATTCCGAAGGCCGTTGCTCCTGTCTCAATTGAACACAGGTCGGTGGGCTGGCACTCTGCACTTTGGGCTGGACTGACTGGCTGGAGTCTTCCGTGAAGTCATGGATCATCACTACCAGTACCTACCTAGCCTTGGGACTGGGAGGGAGGCAGGGCCTGCTCCCCACGGTACCTCAGCCCACTCAATAATGGTCCATCTCAGGTGGGAGTTGAGGTGTTTCCAGTTGTTGGTCATGTACCAGTGTACCTTTCTTTCTCCTTCTGTCTCTGCCTCTTTCTGCCCGCCTCTCAATTACCGACCCCCAAACTCCAAATGGCTGGATTAAGGCTTTTACCCCCAACCCCGAGCTTCGTCCCGAGCTTGCTCTGTTTCTGTCGCTCCTCGTTGCTGATCTCGATGTCTTGTCGGCGGCTGGTGTGCAAGTGATGCAAGTGCTGCGCATCTGCAACGACTACTTCTTCTACTCCTCCTGCTGCAACTCAACTGCGGCATCGTTTCCCTCTCCATACTAGTAAAGCTCCATCCGTCATGCATCTCAGCAGATGCAATGCAGGTCCCGCCCACCAACAGCACAACACGACGCAACACGACACCACCACAGGTACGAACGAGCACAGGCATACCCTACACGGTACGCTCTTCCTTCGCGAATACCTTAGTTAGGCGCAGCGCACGCAGGCAGACCCAGTTCTTGGAGAAGCCGTACCCAGTCACCCAGTCCCAGTCCCAGTCTCAGGCCCAGTGGCATTGGCATTGGTACCGCGCCAGGAACACCATGGCCACGGCTCCCGCATTCTCGCTCAACCCCTTCGCTCGTTCCTGCATTAAGACATTGCATGCCCTCGTTGTTTCTCAATTCAATTCCATTCTTGATCTCACTTACATTCCGCCATCTTGCCTCTGTATCGCTGCTAAATATTTCCACAGTACTTTAGCTCCCTCGAAAGACTTCACTTCGCCAGCCTCGCACCGGCTCCCCCCCAAACACCAAACTTCCTCGACCCCTTCCTGGACCGTCCGGAAACCAGCCCCAACCCGCAGACCCAGACCATCAAGCAGCGCCGCAAGGCACGACAGGCCAGGCTTGCCTCCGACCAAGTCTCCGACCGGGTCAAGAGACGCAACTCTCGCCGGTCCCGTGTCACCTCCACCGGCGCCTCGTCTGTCTACGTCCGCCTTCCCGACAAGATCAAAAAGAGGCACATCATCACCGAAGAGCAGCTCGCCTCGGGCCTGAACCGCAGGCACGACATCATTCTCGACCCGGCTGATGAGGCCGTCTACAAGGTCCGAAGGAGAGCGTCAAGCGTCGTAGGACAAGACGAATTGTGGAGCCCGACATTGTCGGTCCGACCCCAGACCATGGAGTCCCAGCCGAGCCAGAGGGAGGTGCCAAAGAAGTCCAAGCCTGTTCGGCCGGAACAGAAGAAGAAGCAGCTGCCGGAGAAGATCCTGCCGACGTTTCCAACGTCGCCGAAGAACAAGCGGGATTCTTTTTACGACAGCTTTCGTTGGCTGGAAGAGGATGACGACTTGGATCTGCGCCTGCACCTTGATGACTACCATCAGAACCTACAAGAGGAGGCGCCAGCCCCGAAACAGCGCAGGCCGTCGTTTCGCAGGCACTTGTCCATATCCAAGATGCCTTTCGGCCGCACTTCGCTCAACATGAACCGGCCTGGCACAACGCAAGGCGTTACGAGCAACCCCGGCTCTCCGATATTTGGCAACGCCCCGAGCAGCCCCCAAGCCACCTCTCCGGGTCATGGCCGCCGCAGATCCCGCGCCCTGTCTCTCATCACACCGAAACACAGTCCGCAAGACACCGTGGCGGCATTTGACCCCGAGGCCGCACATTACCAAGATCCCGAGGCCCGCCTAAAGCTTCGTGCGTATCTTGCATCGCCGCAAAGGTTTGACGAGGTCATTGAGTTTGGGTTCCCGTCCAGGGAAGCCATGTCTCCAGAGGCGGCAAGGAACAGCAAGGACCGCAAGAGCAGACGCTCAAAGGCGGTACCAGCAGACGAGTCGGACAACCTCCGCACTTTCCTTGCGGACGATAGGTCGTCGATATACAGTGAGGATGGTTCTCTCGACTCGGACTCCCCCAAGACGCCTCAGACACTGGAAAATGCTACCGCCCTCCGGCCGCCACCGCCATTGAAGGGCGACAGGGCATATTCCCCTCAGCCGTCGACCAACGAGTACGCAGCGGCCGAGACGCGGGAGATGACGCTACGCATGACCCTCACTCGACCCGACCTGCGGGCTCACGACGACCAGATCTACGGCTGGCAGGCAAAATGCTGCCCTCCCGCGCCCGGCAGGAAATCCCAGTCGAACGCATTGCGAGACGACTTTGCCGCGCCCGCGTTTGCCCGGGATGGGACGTCAAAAGAAAGCATTGAACGTCAGTTCGCGGCCATGGACCAGTGGAACGCTCAGACCAATGACCGCGGCGTCATGAAGCGGTTTTGGAACAAGGTCCGGCGTGGACAAGCATAACGCTGCGGTATGGGATGCTTGACTTGCTGCAGCCCATGCTCAGACCCTTTAATTCGAACCGCAAATTTTACGACGCCCGTTAGACTCCAACAGCGAGATTGCAAGACTCGACGTAATGACACTAGCAGCACTGTTTCTT